AAAAATAAATCTGTGATTAAAATTTGACGTCTTAAATTAAGCTTTTGCACAAAGGCAATGTATAGTTTTCTAGAATGGATGGAGTATAGTAAAGCATATTTTTTACGTTAAATTGAAATTACTATGATATAATTTAAAGGTCGAATAAGATAAATTCAGTATTCTTTTCACCCCACTCTCTGAATATACTTCCCACTTTAGGGTTTGAATAAGAGAATATTTCATATTTTTGTAGGAAATGTCGAACTTATTTGCCTCACTTTTTTTTTTAATAAAACTTTTTTCGCGGACAAAATTTCTTATTTTCGATGCCTAAATCGCATTTTAATTTTAGAAAATTTAAATTTTTAAACGTATTTAAACTAAAAGAAACTTACAATTCATAAAAAAAATTATTGATTTCAGGAGTTAGAAAGAAATATATAGTATGTATTTTTAAATAGTATTTTTATTGAAACATTTTAAAACGGTCAGTCGTGTAAATCACTACTTAGTCGTGTAAATCACTACTTAAACAGTCATTGACATTTTTAAACAGTCAGTTGTGGATAATCACTACTTTGACTTAAATTAAGTTAAATTATTATGTTTTTATTAAGTCTTATATAATAACAAAAATAACAATAACATTAATAAGATAATCTTATTATTAATAACAATAATATCATTGTTGTTAATATAAGATAATCTTATTATTAATCTATTTAGATGGATAATAAAGTTCATCTTAATAATAATAATATTATTAAGGTTATTATAGGATGAATCTTATAATAACAATAGTATCATTGTTGTTATAATAAGGTAGTCTTATTATTAATCTATATAAATTAGTAACAAGACTCATCTTAACAGTATTATTGTTATTAAGATTATCTTGTTATTTATTATTATCTTGTTATTACTATTTTTTTTATTATATAAGACTTAATAAGATAATATAAAATATTATAATACAAGATATAATTTAAATCTTATATTATATTGATAATATGATATAAGATTTAAATTACATCTTATATTACCTTATATTATCTTATATATTTATCTTATATTGTCTTATATTATCTTATATATCTATATATTATATTATCAATATTATCTTATTATTCTTAGCATTAATATATTATTATATTATATAATAATATAGTATAACAATATAATAATAAAAATAATAAGATAATCATATATATATAATAGCATTTTCATTATTTAATTTTGTTCCACATATTTTATTATTTTGTTTCATATATTTTATAAGCACTCATTTCCGATGATTAAAAAATTCAATTGAAATATTATAAGCTTATGCTATATTACTAATAATTATATATATATATATATTTTTTTTATTTTACTTCACCTCCTCAAGGCCCAGAAGGCCACTACAGACGAGGAGGCTACTTATTTTGTGGCTATAACCCTCTCTCAACTCTATAACTCCGAAACACGAACCTTGACGAACAAGGCTGCTGCGCAAAGAAACGAGTTGAGCGCGGTACTACCAGGGACGTGGTGGGGATCGAACTCAGAACCACTTGTTTATGAAGCGAGCACTCTACCACTACACCACTACCACATTAATTATTGCATATCAAGAAAAAGTAGGGTTGTAATGTTTTCTAGGTTTAATAGACAACATTACAACCAATAAATGGGGTGCAAAGTCCTATGGCTTACCTTCCAGTTGGTGCACTTCATTAAGTAAGTTTGTATGTATAACTTATGAACAGAATAGCCAAGGCAAATTTAGAAAAAATTTTAGCACACAATATATAATAGGTGTAAACTAAAATAGGTTCGAACCGAAACAGCTCACCAACTGTTTCGGTTATCATTTAAGGACTAAAAGAATAGTTTAGTATTGCCAGTCATGACCTCAAAATATCTTTTTTTAAGAACTTTTAAGACAGATAAAAATGAATTTGTGAAACGTTGATGCTTAAGTAAAACTCTAAGCTTGTCAAATAGTTCTGATTATGACACTATTCAAACTTTTTTAGCTACACCTAAAAATATCATATATTTTACCCTTTATTTAGTTATAATTTTAGGTCTGTTTTACAGGCAAACGTAATATTTTTTTGTGTATTTCAGATTGATGGTCAGACGCTTGTTTGGAATCAAATAATCAGCTTGTATGATTGGGATATTGGAATAGATAGAGATGCAGTGGGGTTGACTATGTTTCACAAGTTAAGTGAAGAACATATCAACCTCAATTCAAGAACACGTATGCGAGTAAACCTAGCGGTACAGGTTAGAGTTAAATAAATTGTACTTCTGCAGATCTGGATTTAATACATGCCAGTGGAGAATATTTATCGAATATATTAATGATATACATGTATCTCTTAACCTATTGCAGGAAAATAAATGTATTTTTTATCTGTATTGTTTTTTTTTAAAAAGGTACTCAGTTCAACAGTAGCAGACATGTTAGAAGAACAGGGCCTCCATTCAACAAAATCGTTAATCAAATTTATTAGAATGATGGACAAATTTTTTGATTGTTTAAATGTTTCAAAGATTTTTAATTACTCTCGAAAACCAGATCTCGATCGATATAAAGCCATAGATGATATTAGATTCGATGTAAGTTACTTTATGATTATATCAAGCTCTTTTATTTGAAAAACTTAAAATAATTTTGTAGTTAAAATTAACTACAAAAAGTAGTTAGTACCAATACCTTGGTTCCATTAACTGATCTGTAATATATATATATATATATATATATATATATATATATATATATATATATATATATATATATATATATATATATATATATATGTATATATATATATATATATATATATATATATATGTATATATATATATATATATATATATATATATATATATATATATATATATATATATATATATATATATATATATATATATATATATATATATTTATTTAGTGGCTCCAGAATACATTTTTGAGTTTTATCAATAGTCGGGAAGAACAATGTCAAAACATTCCTAATTTGTCTCAGGCAGAAAAAAACAGATTTTGCTTAAGTAAACAAACTCTTGAAGGACTTCGAATTACTGGTAAAAAAAAGTTCTACTGTATCACGTCAAATTATTATATATCAGTTATATAAATATTAAAATGTCGTCCAATACTTATTTTCTCGTTTAAGGTTTGTATAGTAGTATATTGGAAACAATAAGTTATCACAATAAATTCAATTAAAAACTGTTTTTTTTTCTAGTGAATTCGTTTACAACTCTTGCAAAGTTTTTGCTGGTAGAAGGAGCTGAGTACATTCTGTCCGAAAAGTTCTGCCAAGATCCATTAGAGGAATACTTTGGCAAGCAACGAATGCGATTAGGTTGCAATGATAATCCTTTGTTAATTGAATTTAATTCCAATGCACTTGCCCTAAATGTTTCAGGAGATAATTTGATTCGTGTTTTTGGTTCAAATACCAAAGGTCGAAAGAATGAATTCCAAAAGCTTGATGTGAAGAATACTGATTTACCTTCAAGTAAAAAACGAAAAAAATGATTTTAGTGCAAATATTCTCTTAACTTATATTAAAATACTTTCATTAGGCAGTGAATAGAATTTAAATGTCAATTTAATAAATATATAGTGAAATAAATAGATTTCTAGACTTAACTTTAAATTTTTAAATAAAAGTAAAAAGATTTTTATTAGTATTTACATATAGTAACGTTAGAACAATAGGGTTTCATCTATAATAGAATAATAGGGCTTTATCTTTAGGGAATTTAACTTTTGATTTTTAAAATGTAAACTAAAACTAAAATATTTTACAGCATGCATACTAAAAGACCCCACACTTTAAAAAGCGAGGGGTTAAACCCCCACTAATCCGCCACCCCTTGTAATTAATATAATAATAAAAAAGATAATATACCAATCTATATTATTACGCCGTGGGGAAAGGGGATCGAAGGAGAAATCGAGCAAATGAAGCAAGGTTTATTTTCTATTCTTAACTAGTTTTTTTGTTTAAAACGACCCTCTATTTTTCGCGGTATGAGCCTAATTATAAAATTGAGAAATTTTTAAAGAACACTTTTTTTGCATAACACAAGTAACCTCTTCCGCGGTTTCACTTTAAAAAATCGATATTTTAATTTTTCAATATTGTAAGGTTAAGGTTGTTAGATAAAAGAAAGTGTGTCTTAGGAATCTATTTTTTTAATTTTGGAAGACCATACTTAGGCTCATTTCCGAAAAATCGATATAAACACCCCCAAATTAAAAAGTTACAAAGAAACAAGTAATTAGCAAATCAATGGTAAAATAAGACTTTTAAAAAAAAGTTAAAAAAAAAACTTGTCAAAACAAAGACTTGTTATAAAAACCAAACAAAAAATATTTTGTTAAAACAAAAAAAAAATACTTTGTTGTCAGTTATTTTAACATTTCAACATTAACATTCCAAGATGATTGTTAAATAAACTTTCAATTTCACTTTAAATATTTTAATACAACAATATTTATTTAATTTCTATCAGTTTAAATTTAATCCATAAAAATTTTTCATATCATCATCGTAAAAATGAAATCATAGTAAAAAAATCAACCCTTATCAAGTAAAAGCTAATGATGTTTTGAAAAAAGCAAACAAAAACAACCGAGTAGTGTTTATTTTTACCAATCCTTTGTTAACAAAAAACAAATATAAAAGTACATAAGTATAAAGCTAAACCTAATTTGTTAAACAAGTTAGGTTAAAATAGTTGTCTATGTGCTCTCGTGTCTTTAATACACGTGTGGAGGAGGGAGAGGGTACGTTTAATAATTATTGGAAATTTTATTAAAAAATTTTTGGAAAGCTTATTATGACCTCTTATCCCCGTTTAATATTTTTTACTTGTTAACAAAATAATATTTATCAAACTTAAATCTGAAACTTAAAAAAAATAATCAGTGAAAGTTTACACTTAAAAATTAGTAAATATTTAGTAAATATTTTCGTCATCGATAAAAATAAATAGAATTAAATAATTTTGTTTGTAAAAATATTAGTTTGGATATATGAACTAAAATTTTTAAATAAAAAATTCTCACCTCCCTATTTTTAACCCCCACTACCCCATTTATTAAATCTAGAATAGAACTGCCACCAATCTTCTTATTTCCACCCCTTTTGTATTAAGAACTCGAGATTTTAAGTTTAAAAAAAGTTTTTAAAATTAACTTTGCTAATATCTAATTTTGCTTTAAATTGTTTTTCTTTTTATGCAATGTTTTTCTTAATGCCGGTTCACCTTTTTCTGATACATTGTTTCCTATTTTTCCACCTTTTCTATTTATTATTCGGACCCAGGCTTTTAAAAATGAGCGCGTACGTATGCTCACCCACTTTCAAAGTATAATTTCTTTTAATAAATCCTTTAAAGGTTCACATTCAACATTTTTGGTAAGCGATGTCCAACTCAAATCGATAAGAAAACTTGATTGAAATTTTTTCATTAAAACATCTCTTAGATCTTCACCTTTATATTTGATAATTAGGTGAGAGTTCAATACCGTCCTGGCAACATTCTCAACCCTTCGAATGAATATATAAAAATCGTCATTTACGGAAAACAGTCCACCTCAATTTATTCTATCTGTCCAACCTCTAGTATATTCTAAAAACGTTTTATTTAATGATTTATTATCAGAATCTGATTCCCATGACTTAATTAAGTCTAATACAGCTTTGGTTAAATCAGTGTCTTTACGATTAGAATACATTTTTCGCAATGAAAATGGAATAAACCCAGCTACATAGCGAACAGTTTCTTCTTCTTCTGGTGTTAATCTTAAATCTAGCTCTTTATAATTCGATTCTAACAATACATGATTCCTCCACTCTATAGCATTCTGAAACCACGTCTTTAATATAAATAAACACAGAATGTCAAACCCAGCTTTAAAATTAGAAAAGTCAAAAACTAGTTCATTCCATGAAGAGCGTAATACAACATTCTTGATAAGGCAGTGCAACATCGTACACTGTTGTGGTATATAAGGTATGTAAAAAATATAAATAAAATGTATCTATACATCAGCAGAGATTCTGTGTTTTAGCAAATAGCATTGGCAACAATCAAAATTTAATCAAAAAAACCATTGGCTGATTAATCGGCCGATAGCATTATGCATACCTGATATTATAATATTATCCTTATACATTAATCTCTATTATCAGCCATAATCTCTGTTATTGGTACATCACTAGTTATTATTACTTATTTGGCATTTTTTTCAATTACGTATCTAAAACAAAATTATTAAATGTTGCCTTGGCTATTTTGTTCATAAATTAGACATTTATCACTTGTCTAACTCATTTAACGAAGTGCACCAACGAGAAGGTAAGCCATAGGACTTGGCACTCCATCTGAAAATTGTCATTTGGCCTAAAGTTATCCCTTCACTAATGGATTCTATCCTTTTCTTGATAACAATAACAACAACAATGACAATAAATTTACAAGTAAATATTATACAAAGGTAACAAATTACCAGCTGGAAGGTTCACTCTCATGTAGCCTGGCTAAAAAAGGAGAATGACTTTGTATATATTACAAAATCATAAAGGACAAAGACAAGAAAATAAGCAAGTTGACAAAAATAAATTTAAATAAAATAAGGAAGAATAAATAAAAACAAAGAAATAGAATATATATACATATATGAAAATATCACTGTAACACTAGTGGAAAAGTATTGTCTCTAATTAATTTGATTTAAGAGAAAAAATTTAAGTTTTTCCTTCAGACTTTTACCTAGTTAACAAAATTAAAGAGTATTTAGCTTACTTTAAAGCTACAGTCACTACATGCAGAGTTTGTAAAGAAATGTCTACCATAAAAGTTTTTATCATATACATATACATGATAGACAGCCAATAAAATAAGGGCCTTATCTAGCGATAGTTTGGGCAATACCCTTTTAAATATATATTGTTCACGGCAGCGGAAGGAGAGGGAGAGGGGATTTTAAAATCTTTCTGTTACTACACGTGTAGTAAAAGAGAAGTGCACTTCTCTTGCAATAACTAAAAAATTATCTCATAACTGCTTTAGAGGTGATATTTCCACTCAAAGGGTGATTTTTCTTTGTATTTGTAATCCGTTATATATTAATGTAGGAATTCATGATAACATATTTTATTTTTATTTTTTTAAATTTTTACTAAAATAAAAGATTAACTTACACTTAAGATAAAATATAATAAACAAATTTAGCCAATAAACAAAAAAGTTATTATTAAAGTAAGTAGTTAATAAACAGTTCTCAAAACTGGAAATAAAACAGAAATTATAGTATTTTTCACATTATGTAATAGATTTGTATACAAATTGTTAAAATTGTATAGGTGAATCCTAGGCATTGCAAGATGCCTAGGATTCACCCCCTGGATCCGCCCCATACATATATATATATATATATATATATATATATATATATATATATATATATATATATATATAAAATATATATATATAAAATATATATATACATATATATATATATATATATATATATATATATATATATATATATATATATATATATATATATATATATATATATATATATATATATATATATATATATATATATATATATATATATATATATATATATATATATATATATATGTATATATATATATATATATATATATATATATATATATATATATATATATATATATATATATATATATATATATATATATATATATATATTCATATATATATGTATGTATACATATATATATATATATATATATATATATATATATATATATATATATATATATATATATATATATATATATATATATATTATATATACATATATAATATATACATATATAATATACATATAATTTTTAATGACAATAAATAACTCACTTTTTTCTTTAATATTTGATTTGTTTTTAGTTGCTCCATCATTATTTGCATTATCTAAGCAGACATATAGTATGTTAATTATCAAAACTCTAATAAAAGCCTACTTTTCTAATAAAAGTGTTTTTACTTTGCAGATTATAAAAAAAAATTTAAAATTAAGAAATTTCATAAACATATTTTGACCAATCAAAAGTATTCTGGCTATTTTAACTATTTTAATTTTTTTTATATCAATAAAACGTAACCTTTAACCTGTTATTTTTTAATTTTAAAGATTTGTAAAAAAAGTAATGAAAAATGTAATAAAATGATCTCTTATATGAAGTTCAGTAGACTACTGTACTACTGAGTAGTACATGTCACATAGTTTTGAGTAGTTTATAAAATTAAAATTAGGAACTGATGCAATATTTTCATAACCTTATTACTAAGAACATAGTAGCACCAGTTTAGAAATTAAGCTCCTTTACATGTTACCAACATGTCGTAGAAAGTCTAAAATAATGAATGTCTAGTAATGTCTAGTAATGTCTAAACTGGTAAACTCTCATTATGTCATAATTTATAAGTATAAACAAACCTTTAGTGCCAATGTAACATTTCATTTCATGCTTTTTAAAATTCGATTGTCTAATATATTTGTTCTGACATTTTGGGCAAGTAAATTTAGTTGTTAAACGCTCGTCTTTTTTTTTTAGCTTATTTAGTTCTTCTTCTGAAATGGATTTTTCTGTAGGTATTGCTGATGGTATGAGCTCTAATTCCAAATCCTCTGAAAAGAAGTCTACTAACTCGTTAAGGTCCACCTCCATAAAATCATCCACAACTATTTCAATTTCAGAATCAATATTTTCTAACAAATAAGAGTAATCTTCTTGATTAATATTAAAGTCATCTGTTATATTCATTTTATGTTTCGCTGCTCAGAAAGATGTTTTAATATTATTTGTTATATATTGGATAGTCAAGACCTATTTTTTTTGACGTCGAATATAATAAAAATATTTCCACATTTTGCAATTATCCATATTGTTTTTCTTTTGTTGTCCAAACAATGCCGTAACACGCATATCTTTTTTTTTAAACAATGCGTTGAACGTCCATCTTATTTTACGTCCTTGGTCTTCTGCAAGTTTTCCGCAAGTTTTCTGCAAGTTTTCATATATTCGCCAATGAGCCTCTGGGGCGGAAACAGAGCGACAGTCTAAATATGTGTTAATTTCATTATGGTCAAAACTTTCATTAATTACCACATTCGCACAATCATGCCCTTTATAGACATATTAGTATAAATACTTCACTGACTAAATAGATATGCAAGCTTCAACATTAATGTGGGCTTGGTACTTTTTTGATAACCAGGGGTTATAGGGTACGACCCATTGATTATCAACTTGGTTACCTTTTTATAATGACTACTCTTCCATTATCTAAACGCCTGTAGTTAGGATAACCATTGAAAATTGCAACAGTGCGAGGATTAAACTCTTTAGGAAATATTTTTGCGCAAACTCCATCTTTCATGCAAAGAGAATTGGGATTTAAAATCCCACATGGTCCATGAATCATACATGTTTTTAAAAAATTTTCATACATGTTTTTACCAAAATTTCAAAAAATTCAAGATCAATAGTTTGTCCTGGAATTTCAGCTGATATTAAACTATCAATATCCTCTGCTGTTTCTAGCTTATCATCATTTACAAAGTGTAATAAAATATACACATGTGGCAAACCACGTTTTTGAAACTCAATAACCTGTACATGACTTTCAACTTTGCCTAAGACTCCATGTTTAAAAATATCACCTAAGAAGCATTTAAGTTTCATCTTAAATACGCGACAAACTAAATCAGGTCTGTCAGTTGGGCTCTCACCTGGATTTAAATTTTCTGTAATTTCTCTCCATTTTGAATTACAGGTAAAAGTAATAAAAAGATCTGGTTTACCATATTTCTTTATTATTGCCATTGCGTCTTCAAAATTTTCTTTTAAAGCTCTTGGACTTCCAACATATGAGGATGGTAGTATAACAACACGACCCGGTCTTACATTAAGGTTATTTGCAACATTATTTACATACTCATGTAATGTATCGTATTGTTCTCTTCTAAGTTTGTTTTGGTTATTTCTGATAAAAGCAAGGCGCTGTCCTTCAATCTTGACATATGCATCCACAGCATACTGTTGAAAAAGCTTCTTACCATAAAATATAGGACTGAACGTTTGTCTAATAGAAAGCCTATATTTGTAGTACTGAGACAAAGTAACACGATTTCGAACACGTGTTGCTTGGTCAGGATTGTGCTCTAGTTGATCATGCCATCCTGCATCACCTCTTGGAAAAAATATTGGATATATCATTGGATAAACATTATATACATAATAGTATTTAAACTAGATTCTTAAAGAGTATAACTTTTTTTAGTTTTTGATTCATTTAATGAAGATTTTGATTCATTCTCTGAAGTTAATAATTTCCTAGTACTTGTTTTTTATCTCTAAATGGATAAACTTTTAAAACCGCAAGTTTAAAATAGGTTGTATTATTGACATAGAACTATTTGTACTGTTGTCTTATACTATTTAACGAAAACTTAAAGTAAAGTTCAAATTATATTTTATAATTGTAGGAAAATGGCCTCAATAGGCCTTACGCTTTTTTAAACCTTGGTTGTTACTTCATAAATAATTTTATTATTATAGTTGCTACTTCCTAAATTATTTCATTATTATAGCATTATCATTAGCTATCAACTTTGTTATATGAATTAAATCTGACTTAATATACTTTCTTATAGTCAAATTCTTATATACACGAAAATAGCACTGCTTCAAGTATATATACATATATATACTTATATATATACATATATATATATATATACATATATATATATACTCTTATATATATATACATATATATATATATATATATATATATATATATATATATATATATATATATATATATACATATATATATATAAATATATATATATATATATATATAAATATATATATATAAATATATATATATATATATATATATATATATATATATATATATATATATATATATATATAT